TTCTTAAAATGGCTTTAAAGTTATTCCATTATTCAAATGCAATTTTGTTTCATATTGACTAATCATCACTTGTGTACCCCTTTCTAAGAAAAAATAGCCAGACCATTTTTTAATTAGATGCAATAAACATCTTAGTAATATGTGATCACCAAGAAGTAAGATCAGGGCCTACTAGAATATTTTTTTTGACATAAGAACGTAGTTTCTTAACCTAGATTGAAGACTTAATTTGTCATAACAAGTTTCTATAGGAAACCTTTGAATAAAATTCAAGGTTTAACTAACTTCATACTATATTTTCCACATCGCTCTCCATAATAAAGAATCACCAAAAAACCCCACGCAGTATTAGTAACCACACATGTATCTCCATGAAACTATAATTCTAGTTCAGTACGAACCAAAATGTCTCTCGGAGATGCCCAACTAGCTCTGAAAGATAGACAGATGTAGGACAGGTTACCAAAGATGCCTCAAAAAAAGGAGCTGGTTTTCATTACGTGCAGGGAGAGAGTCCATTATAAAAATTGTGATTGCCATTACTCTAAATGGCTTCCTCTACGGCATGAACCATATTCAATTTAAGGAATTCTCCTGACTCTGAAGTCAGTCTACTTGTAGGAAAAAACCTGTACTTTATGAGATTTAAATCTCTCTTCAGGGACAAGAGGCAATCTCTGTAAGAGAAGATCCCTGTATTAACCATTCCATATGTGAACTAAGCCTATGTGCTAAGCAGTCCACAAAATTACTGTACAAAGTGAATAACACAATGTCAAGAATTAAAATGAGTATAGCCCAGTAATTAGAACGTACACTACCAAATCCTTTTCATGAGGCAGGGTTTTTTTTAGTCTTTCCTTATGAGTAAGCACTAGCTGACCTCTGGAACGACTCATCAAGGATATCTACAGAACATTCTGAAAACAAAAACATTTAAAATTAATGTTGTTCTTGATTTAAACTGATGTGTCTGACTAAAGAACAAGGCAATTGGCTTTATTTATCTAAACCAATCCTATCTTGCTCAATAATGGGAATGACATTGTTCACAATTGATTAGGACTCCCATCCTGAAAATCACTATATTAGAAAAACTATCCAGAGAAAGTTACTTGCTGTCTGTTCCATAAGATTTCCCTCAGTTCAATATTGCACAAGCTTTTTCCAATTCATGTTTGGCTCTAAATATAAGACAATCATTTTAACCAACATTCATGGGAGTAACTTCCTTGAGGAAAAATATCTGAAAAAAAAGTATATGCAGTGAGTCTCCCTTTGTCAAATTAGATTCCCTTTTTAAATCACAGAAAACATTAACACTAAAATGAAAGTAACTTCTATATTTAATAGGGATAATCCCTATCTTACATATGGAGTTACTTGCATTTTCTTTTATGTGTATTTCAGTAAAAATAATTTAATTTTGGAAGTGTGTTCAAAATATCTTACTACTTTGAGCATTTTTAAAAAAACTTTTTATCAGAACAGTCCAGTAGAGTAAGAATTCAGAGTGATAAATTGCTTGGGTTGCAGACATTGCCTTCCCTTGGGCCAAAATTAATATTAACTTATCTTCTGTTTTCCACTAAATATACTTGAAATACTAAATAGCATTGAAGATTTTTTTCTAATTAATATGTAATTTTGTTGAATCAAAAACCAGGCTGTAGTTACATTTTCTTCTTTTGGATTGTTGTTTGGTTACATTGTCAAAAAAGCCAAAACACATAGCTACAAACAAGTATTTTTGGTTTTGATCTGAAAATACGGACATTTTATTTAGTGACAATCCTTTAACACTGTTTTATCATTGTTATCATTAATAAATCCAAACAGCAGCATAACACAGTTACAACAGGAATTTCTGTTGTGGAACTGCAGTGCAGGTGGAAACATTTCACAGTGCTGTGGTATGCCACATTTTTGATTATGCTAAGTTTGCCAATTTTAACTAATGACAGCATCTTAAGTCTCCTAATATATATTTACTTTGATTGCCTCGTAATGTCATCACCACATCTTCTAAAAGATAGCAAGCATGAGCCGACACCATAATTTTAAGTTTAGGAGCAATCACATGTCCTTCCTCTTTGACACACTGATCCTTTACCTTTGTCAAGAAAAGAAATCTTCGTATAAAAGGATCAAACAACTTCCCAAATAATAGGATCCTCTTTGGTCCATCAGGAAGATTGAATAGGAGTGCCATTTCATGTAACTGTTTTAACTGCTGGCCTGAGTCTTGGTGTATTTCCTCTTAAACACTTCTCCAGGAAAAAGGATAAAGAAAAATGACGTAGGATCATGACAGAGCTATCAAAAGAAACCAACTCAACTCAGTCGTCTTCTCCACCTACTGACAAAATGTCTTACCAAAGTTACAGTGGCCGTATACCAAGATCCATAACCTAACCTCCATCTATACTCCTGCAAGCATGTTTTAACCCATCTATATATTTCTAACACATCGCTTGATACTTAAAAGATAAAAATTGGTAAAAAGGATGGTTGAAGGATTTAGATGTAGATTTTGGCTGCAGTATTACATCTGCTTTATGTAGCAAGAACAGGAGTGTTATTGTACAAATGCATTTTGTACAATTCATTTAGCTACTTGAAGCCTTTTATTAAATATCTTCTCTTAATATATCTTAGTGACAGGCTACAAATACAATTGCAGCCCATATCAAAATAGTTTAAAAGAGCAAAAGAGCATGACAGGAAGCAGACGCTGGGTCACAAAGCAAGTGCTCTTCAGGACAGGACATCTTGCAGTGTGACCACAGAAGGCATTATCCCTGTGACTGAAACAGAACGCATTAGGAACAGTTAATGGAAAAGGAAATTGTTAGTGAGTATTGGCAAATCAGACTGAAGCAGAGTTCAAGAACTTTCTTTTGCAAAGAGAAAAAGAAGCTTTGATAGCAAGGAACAACCCTGCCAAATCTAGAGCAATTTCTTGTTTTGCTCTATCTGTTCTACGCAAGCAATTTGTTTCCAGATCCTCTGAACAACAGGAAAAGGAGCCACGATGAAGTTGGCAGGTCACTCTTTTCTAAACAAAAAGAGCGTGAAGAAACAAGCAAACAAAAAAGGCTGTGGTCATTTCAGAAACCACATCTCACAGACACAGCACTGAAGCAACTGTTATCTAAGTGACCCAGCTGAATATAGCATCTCTTGTCAGTAGAGTCCAGACATTATTTTTTAATTCCTATTGCAAGAGGTATCACCCTGGAGTTTCAATAACATGGCTTATGACTGGGAGGTACTCTAACGGGAAACACGGAGGACTCAAGGTAGCAGAAGGGTAGGAACCAGAAGACAGTTAGGGTATGCAAAGAGGTAACATAGAAATGTTCTGCTTGCAGGTAGGGGAAGGAGCAGAAAGAATGTCTTCTCTTTCTCTTAGTTTTCCTCCAACTTAAAAATAAAAGAACTTTATTTCAGCACATTGACCCGCTTGTTCACAAACACAGCATTACTAACCTTTAAAATCTGTATGTATCACCAGTTTAAGTGTTTTGAAAGCAAACTTACCTGAAAGTCTTGATCATCAATTCCAAACCTCTCTCTTAGATTACGGAAAACCATTGGACAATATTCCTTAAATTTGAAATGACTTGGCATGTTTTCTCTGAAAGAATATAAAACCAAATCAACTTCATTCACTTGCATACGTAATAAGCAACTCTATAGAGTAGTCTGTCTCAATTCCGTTCATACAAAGCAGAGGATAAGGAGATTTACGATCTCTCTTCTTATGCTTTCTTTTTTTCATTGAGATTTAGTCTCACAGTGTTCTTTTCTTTTTCTTTACAATGTTTAATAAATTTATACATATTTGTCTCTAAAAAGCTACAACATAACTGGATGAAATAAACACAACTAAGTTTTGATAACTTCAGAGCCTGGACTCAAAAGCAGAAAGGAATGCTTTCCCATTGCTCTAAAATTACAAAATTTTGTCTCGTTCAGTACAGGGATAATTTTAATATCCTAGTGTTAATTTCAGACTTATACATAAGAAAAGTTATTTTTGACCTTTGCCACAGAAAGAAGACCCAAAGTAGCAGAATTCTTCCTTTTTCCAAATATATTCTTGAATAAAGTTCAGGTCATACACAAAACAGCATTTATTGTTTTGTATGTCTGTACATAAAGTTCATGGAGCATTTTATTTTTAAGAGACATAGATATTACATGTAGTGATCTTACTACTTTTGGAGCTTCTATGTGATTGGTATGATTTCGTATAATGGATTATAAAAAGCTGAAAGTTATACAGCTTTGATATATGCTTTAAATTCTCATTCTTGTTCAAATATTTCATTTATAAAAAGTACATGCACATGAATTTATATTTTTAAAAATATCCAAATAAATGTTTATCAGCCATAAATAATCATAGCAAGAGAGGTATACCTTCAATAGGTAAGATACTCATAAGGCAATAATAAACCATATGGAGGAAAAATACTACCCAGCAGCCTTTGCTGTTGCTGTCAGAACAGCACAGATGGTTATGTTTATCGCAGGATTAACTTAATCATCAAAACTTCAGTCCCATGAATTGAAAAATAACAGAGTTCATAGTACTTCATAAAAATATTACTGCCATTATCCACTTCTACAAAGAACTGTTACTCGTACTTACTTGTTGAAAAGGTGATTGTCCACCTTTATCTTTGAGTACGCTTTGAAATCATCTGGCATCAACATAACAGGGATTTGAACATGGCTCAGTTCATTGATCTAGAGAAAACAGAGTACATTTAGTCACTGATGTCTTTGCAAAGATGTTGCACATGTCTAAATTATGAAATTGTTATTCAGTCTATTATTTCTTGTGTTTATGTCCAGAGAGTGTATTTAAGTAAAAGAAAAATACAAAAGCAGTTTTATTCTTTCCAGATTAAATGTGATCACAAGATTAACACTTTTGGAAAAAAAAACCAACCAACATTCCACATTTATACTAGTTTCAGGAAAAAAAAGTGCTTCAAAGCACACCTGGCGTGTACTTTTTATGGAAGGTCAATGAGGATGCCAGCAAAATGGGCTTTAATCCCAACACACTGTTCTTGTTTTGTCAATTTGTCAATTCTATATTTCGAGTTACTACTTATCTTTACAGCTTGTGAAGTATTCTTACATGTCTGTGTCTTGAACTATTTATAGAAAGGAAAGTGGAACTTGGCTTACATGTGAATGCATACACTTTGGGCTCAATAAGCTGAGATTTGTTCCTTACACTAGTGCAGAACTCGGCTCAGTTTTTGTAAGTCACAGCATTCAGGCAATTTTTTGATTGATCAAGTCGGACAAACTAAAATAGCTAAATGTTTGCTTAGAAACAGATGGAGAAGTAAGTTCTAAGGCTTTCCTTATTTTGTTGTATTTATGGGGACCATCTATTCTTTCTAGCTTTGAAATAAAGTCGGTCTTTTAAAAAGTCAGTCTTCTCAAGATTAGGATTCTTCTCATGTATTTGAAATCCACTTCTGACCACATCTTCATGATAAAATGTAGACAACTTTACTGTTACCTAGTTTGTAGGGATGTTTTTACTATTGTGTGTATTAATCTGCCCTCACTTTAGTAAATTTTAACCAAAACACGGTAAATAGAAGAATTGTTAGCTTGCGATGGTGCTTTCAAATCACAAATGAGATACCCATTACAACAACAGTCACCAAACACCTATGACATACATCTTATCTATGTTCTTATGGCGCTCTACATGCGGGTCACACATCTCGATTTACCCGTTCAAATCCTTTTGCTCATGCAGAGCACGTTTTGCTTCAGCAGTTTTAACAGGGTTTAGAGGGAAAACCCACTCTATATGAATACAAATGCACACTAGAAGTGGATATAGCAACACAAGGGTGCTCCTCTGCCCTTAGCACTGCTTACCCAACACTGCTTTCCAACTAGAAAGCTGTTAGTTGTAAATGCTATCCTGCTTGAGAGGCTTTTGGAGAAACCTTCACCAAAGCAGCTACAACTTATAAATACTGGAGGAAAAACCCCACACTCACTGCAAGTATGACCTTTTACAGAACTGAAGTTAAACAAAATAAGACAACAGTGAGGAGCCTTTTAGCTCTTAATCAGAGGAAAGTAACCAGCGCAAGCAGGCAGGTCAGGCGGCCTCATCACTCTTCAGTACTTTCAAGTTCCAGTACTGTTCCCTGCCATGCCTCATTTTTGTTATTCAGATCCCTGTAGCCCACATGAAAACTGATAAAATGTGTTGAATTTACATGACAGAATGCTTCTTCTGAAAGCCCTGAAAAGGTCTAGATAGAGGCACAGCAGTTACATAGCAGGGTGGAGAAAGGAAACAGAAAGATGCTTGGGATGGGCTGAATATGCTCTGCTCCTTGCAGTTGTAGAGAGAATGCTCTTTCCTCCTTTCAAAGGGAGAGAAAGAAGAAACTCCAGTAAATTTTTGAAAACACAGCTGTAAAAACCTAATAAATCATGCTGACACCTTATTACATACAATATAAAACAACAAAACATCGATGGAAAATCACTACATCTAACATACATGCTCTTTACTACAGTTGATATCGCTGTACATCAATCTCACCCTGAAACCACAGGGCAGGTTCATGAGTCTGCAGAACTAGTCTAGCTGTCGTACAAATAAAACCAGAGACAAGTAGATATATTATGCAGAGATATGAAACTTCAGATTTGCTTATATGGAATTACCTACTCTCTTAGACTGCCAGATTGTACAACAAATTCCATGCTTGAAAGAGGGATAACAGAGACCTACATGCATTTCCATCCTAGCCAAAAGTGACCCCAAGAATATCTTCCATTGAATACTGTCAATAATGCTGAATTCACAGATCTTCAAATGAGCCATCTACAATTTGAAACTTTGCTTGAAAATTTGTTAATTACCAAATTTTCACATGCATTAACTTTCTTAATTTACTGATGTAAAGTTTCCCTGAATACACCTATAGATTTGCTTTCATGCTGTGAATATTGAAATTTGTGCTATAATGGCAGTTTTAATTGTGTCTGTAGGCCTTACAAATGTCACCTGAATAGAGAAATAACACAGCCAAATGTGCTTGTATTTGCATATTTTATAGATTCTTTTATTCTAAACAAAAACTCCAAAATAATTCTCCCAGGAAGTTCCCTACAACATGTGAACGCATGCACACAACACACAAATCCCCCATATCAAATCAGGCAAAAAATGCAGGCTAACAGAAGGTTTTTGGTTTGGTTTTTTTTTGGAGGGGGAGAGAGAGGGCAGTTGGGGTTTTTTGGGGGGCATGGATGTGGGTGTGAGATTCATTCCAAGGTATGTAAAAGTAATTTCTCTAATATTTTAGGAAATTCCTCTCTAGCAGGAGGGAGGAAAAAAAAGCAGGTGATGAACGCACAGTAGAAATGACCTTTGGTATAGCACACCAGCTGAGTAATGGCATCTCCCAGTGGCACAGGCCATTAATTAATTTAAACCTTTCAAGTATAAGGTCTGGTTCTTTGTGCAATAGTCCATTTTTCGGATAGATTTGATGAGGCCAGATTGGAAAGCGCACACAAGACAGAAAGGCATACCCATGTCATTAGATCTTGGTGGAAACTAGAACCACATTGCAGGGGGAAGGGAGAAGAAACAATATCCAAAACTCCCCCATAAACAGCTCTTGAAAAGCTAAAAGGAAAGAGAAAGGTCAGAGGGATCAATGCTCCACTTTGCCATCACCGTGTAAAGGAACAGTCACATCTGAAAGACACTAAATATGAAGCACAAAGAAAACATTTTGAGCCTTCCAACTCATCTCAGATGAAAATTTTGTTTCTTTTTCTGTGCTTGAAAGTCAAGTGTGACACAAAATCTTAAGTAAGATGCATGTGATACCTCTGCCAAGTATTATGTGCATCTCTTCATGTTACCAGCTAATACAACTAGCTTCCTTAGCAATAGCAAATGAAACGTGACTGTGAGGATGCAAGTTCAGTATTCCCAATTACAACAGAAACTGTGTTACAATAGCTGTAATAATTACATAAGAAATAAGAAACATCTATTTCCTCTAAGTGCTTCTGAACATAACAAAATTGTAACAAGGAGTAATTTCCCACAAGAGATAGTCGCGATGCATAAACGAAGCAGAAAGAGCTCACTGGACAGAGGACTGACTTGTTGCTGAGGAGTCAGGATCAAACATTCATTTAATTACAATTACTTCTAAGAGAACCCACACTTATAGCACCTCTACAATAAACGCATCACACTGAGAAAGAAGGTTCTTTTAGTCCTGCAACCTACATCCTTTAACTGCCCTGATTTGTTGTTGCAGATACAAAATTTTGCTGCAGTTTGTCTTGTTATTTGAAACAGGCAATGCTTAGCATATCTTTGAGGAATTTAAATCCCATATAATAGCCTCAGAGAATGGATAATTTTAGATGTAAATGACTAAGGTTTTAGTTGCACAGTAACCATGCATGTTATGTATAAATACTTTGTGTCTATTAATAACTTTTATAAACTCATGCACACAACATATAAGTGACCCAGAAATCTCCCTTTAGGTAATTTATTCAAATACCTTCTGTGATACTGGTATAAAATCAGGTGGTTATGTGAGATGGGAGACATCTTCCACAATGAGCTTTAAGGAAGAACAATTTTAAAAGTCTTAGACTGGCATCACCCCTTAAAACAGATGGTACAAAAAATTGTGGCTGTAGGGACCTGCTCAGGGCTGTGGCTCAGCCATGACAGGTGGGAGGGGGCTGAAGCGAAAGGAGGCTTTGAGGCAAAAACCAACTGATTGCAACTCATTTTGCTCCTGCAGGTTTAGGATTGAATTCACACTGTCAGGAAAACAGAGGTTGTAATTAAACTGCAAATAAGGGAATAATAAAAGCCTACTGGACATTGAATAAATAGTAAGACTCAGCTGGTAATGATTCCGAAATTAGCACACAGAGAGGTGTTCCCACAAAGCCATCTTATATTGGTGACATTTCAAATAAGCTTCTCTAATTTATATGATTTGAAATCTAGCAATGAATATATCATAAATTGTTAGGCATTATTAATGGCCCTTATTTAATTCAGATACATTCACCCTAAACACCACATTACTAGGGCAATGCATAATTAAACATTAGTTTTCATTCTGTCAGAACACAAGCAGCAATAAATTGCTTGTATGCAAAGCAGACAATGAGATATTTAAGCAGCATATAATAAAGGCAATTTACAACATATATTGCACGTTTAGCTGGAGGAGCCAGAACAATGATCCTGTTCAACAGATAAAAGCTAATGCCTATCACTACGATGCTGCAGTAAGAAACCTATGTAACACATTACAGCTGACATTAGTCATAAAAAAAAACCAACAAAAAACCTGTACAAAATTGAAGAAGCTGTGTACGTTGTTGTCCAAAATTTCATCCCAAGCACATCACAAATCACATGCAGATTACTTAGCAATGCATAGTGGTTCCTTTTGAAACTCTCCTCCTATTTAAAGTCTTTATTCTGTATGTGGTTTCTTATATTTAATATCTTAGCTTTAATGCACAGCATAGATATTATTTCCTTTTTATTTAACATATTGGCTAGCCAGATTCACTAGCTGAACCTACGGAGAGATGAGGTGTTTTCACACCGAACAGCTTGATAAAACATCTCAATCATAGCTACGGTTCTTGGCAGTTTCACACACAGGAAAATCCCTGCTCCTCCCAATGCT